AAAAAAAAAAAAAAAAAAAAAAAAAAAAAATATGGACAAAAAACTAAATGCAAGGAATATTTTATCAATTTCAAAATTCTAATATGACTGAAAAATTTGGAGTCTTTATCCAAACCATGGAGACTTGGACTATTAATTTCTCATGGTATATTTTACCAACTCTAAACAATATTGAAATTTCATCCTTTATTGTTTTCGATCAGAAAGAGGGTACAAAAACCTCACATTTCTCTTTTAGAGAGAGAATTTAACCCCAATTGTAAGACGAAAGGGCCTTGTTTGTGACCTTGTGACCTACGACCATGACTAGACAGAGGCACAATTGTCCTGGTGACGAGGACTCCTAACTCAGACTTCAGCCAGGAAATGATGTTGTTGAAGCCGTACAAGCTCAGATGACCTCTATTGAAATGTACTTTATCACTCTTATATTATTGACCGCTTATGGTCAGTGCCTGGGGCAAGTTAACCGGTTGTTAGTGGTTTTTGCCACGTTAAGTCGCTAAGCTGATGGTGGTGATGCAATTTGACTGTTGTCTGACCATAGAGGAGGAGAAGCTTGAAATATGTCTCCAAGTCAATTTGGACCTCGTAAGAACCAGTTATCAAAAACATGTTAGATTTGATATGATTTTCTGCATCAAATCTTTCACCAGCATCAAAACATTGTCAATACGATTAAACCTGTCTAATTAACCCCTAAATATTCTGACATATACAATCTGACCCCTGTGTATCCTGATATTGTGGGCAATCAGAACCCTGAGTATTCTGATATTGTTGCCAATCTAACCTCGGAGTGTTTCGACATCTTATCGAAGATATGAAGATATCTTCATTCCACCTCTGAGTTGAATTCAGCATTAATACAATAATATAAATATATCATTCTGAAGCAGCTTTGTTTTCATTATCTAAACTGATAACATCTCCTTTTCTGTGGTGGAAGTTGTCGACCAAAAACCAACAGGATGCCCTCAGGAATTTATGAAATCTTTGATGGAAAAAATTCAAAATTTTACTAAAAGCATTTGTGTTAAATTTTCAAAATTTCTGGGGTTCCCTCTTTTAAGTCAAATTTTCTTTTAGCCTGTGATAAAATATATCAGTGTGACCCTTGAATAAAATTGGATCAATAAATGAAATTATCTGATATCATTTGGGCAGGTTGGACCTTAAGCTGATTAGCCTCGTTATCTCCCCACTATAAATCTCGCTAATTACCAAATACCGCCCAAGCAATGAGTTCACACACACCGATTGGTAAATATGTTCAGTTCTGATGAATTTAATCAAGACTGGTCTTTCAACCTGTCTGAGAATTTCATTAAAGTCACTGTCATCCATTTAGAATTTTATCCCAATCAAACTTCAACAAGCATGGGGAGCTTTCCAAAAATACAAAAATTGTTCTATTTGTCCTGTTGTCTTAATGTAAAAATGTTTGCTTAACTTTAATTTCATTTAAAAAAATTGTTGTTATCAAAGGAAGTCTCTAAGGTGTTATAAAAATAGCTTATTTTTAAATAAAAAAACAATTAAAGGTATGATGTTAAATTGTCGATTAGTATGTATAAAGCTGACCAATCTTACAGAAGATGACACCAGGTCAGTAATGAGTGTATTATACGACAAATAAGGTTGTGGATTAATTACAGACTTCCAGGATCTGCCAGCATCTGTCACTGGCTCTACACCTTCATTGTACATCACCACTCCCATCGTCAGCCACCCTGTCAGTGTCGTCAGCCACCCTGTCAGTGTCGTCAGCCACCCTGTCAGTGTCGTCAGCCACCCTGTCAGTGCCGTCAGCCACCCTGTCAGTGCCGTCAGCCACCCTGTCAGTGCAGTCAGCCACCCTGTCAGTGCAGTCAGCCACCCTGTCAGTGCCGTCAGCCACCCTGTCAGTGCCGTCAGCCCCGGACTTTCCTCTTCAGCCGACACAATAGTTGTTTAATCTATGAAGTTCACAGTACTGGTATAAATGTATGACAATTCTTGCTGGGAACGATTAACTCGGATGACTGGGGATTATAAGAAGTTAATATAATATATCATCATCAAAATTTGTATTAAAAGTCATAAAACATATGCTTACAATTTTTAAAAATGTTCAAGTGTGACAACTAAAGTAACAATGGAAGGTTAATCAAAGTTAAAAACAGATTAACGTTTTGTATCCTGGAAAGTCATAAAAACCCTCTAATGAGCTAACTTGTCTGTATCGCAAGATTTCTTGTGTATCTGAAGAGGGAGGTAAACAGAACATCCAGATGGTCCAATATTCTAATGAGTTCGACAGGTGGTAGTCGGTTGGAGGTAAATAGAAGATCCGTTTGATGAGGTTTTCAGGTGGAGACTGTTTGGAGGGTGTCGGTGCATGACCTACAAGGTGACAAGTTTGTCATAGTTATATGTCTACTTCCTGTAGTTGTGGGAGGTCAAGGTTGGCAGAGGTCATATGTATGTTTAGGGTGGAGAACATCTGTACTTTATATTAGTAATGGACACCATTGTTATACTGATGTATGTGATGGGAGGTTTAGAAGAGGTGGTGATTGGGGGGGGGGGCAACATTGGAACTCATGGGGGGTTTAGCCCTCCAGGGGTTTTATTTGAGGGAACTAAAGGATTATACCGCCTCCCTCTGTCCTTCTTGACACACTTTGTCCCTCCAAGAATTAAAAAAAAATTGGTTTCTTAAGTACTTGGGTAAATTTTTGGTTGCATACTAAAACAAGTAACTGTATCCTTTATTTTGACCTCTGACCATTGATTGAAAAAGTCAAAGCAAAGCAAAAAGGGTATACTTTATACATTAAACCATCTAGGAATACCAAACATGGTACAGGCACACATTTTGGGTCGGCACAGTGGAGTGTATCATTCAAAAAGTAGGTCACAATGACCTTTGGTCTCTTAATTGGTAAAAGGTTTTACTTGAACGTGAGTTTTATACTGTAAGACCATTTCAAAAATGCCAGAGTGAATACTGAAACAGGTAGAGTGTCATGCAATAAAAGTAGGTCACTGTGACCTCATCCTGACCTTTACTTTACCTTTAACCTGTATTTTAGCGAACAGTTCTGTCTTGAACATTATTATAATACATTGATATATCCAACATAATCTGGAAAATGTTTAAGAAATGGTAAAGTAGGAAAAAACATTCTCCTATGAAAGTGATTAAATAGGATTCATAAAAAAATTAAGATAATGCCTATTGTTTCTCTGAAGACTTTCTGGGTGATAAGATAACTGTAATATATTGTTTTTTTAGGTCACCTGAGCTTAAGCTCAAGTGACCTATTGCTATCCGTTTTAGTCCGTCGTCGTCCGTCGTCCGTTAACATTTTACATTTCAAACTTAAAGTCAAGTTCTGCTGGGCAGATTGAACTGAAAATTAGTAGGAATGATCGCCTCATGGTCCTGACAAAGTGTTGTTATTTTTTGGGTCGATCAGAACTCCAATATGGCCGCCATGGCCGCCATTTTGAAAAACTATTTCAAACTTAAAGTCAAGTTCTGCTGGGCCGATTGAACTGAAAGCTAGTAGGAATGATCAACTCATGGTCCTGACAAAGTGTTGTTATTTTTTGGGTCGATCAGAACTCCAATATGGCCGCCATGGCCGCCATTTTGAAAATCTATTTCAAACTTAAAGTCAAGTTCTGCTGGGCCGATTGAACTGAAAATTGGTAGGAATGATCGCCTTATGGTCCTGACGAAGTGTTGTTATTTTTCGGGTCGATCAGAAATCCAATATGGCCGCAACGGCCGCCATTTTGAAAACCTATTTCAAACTTAAAGTCAAGTTCTGCTGGGCAGATTGAACTGAAAATTAGTAGGAATGATCGCCTCATGGTCCTGACAAAGTGTTGTTATTTTTCGGGTCGATCAGAAATCCAATATGGCCGCCACGGCCGCCATTTTGAAAATAGCTATTTCAAACTTAAAGTCAAGTTCTGCTGGGCAGATTGAACTGAAAATTAGTAGGAATGATCGCCTCATGGTCCTGACAAAGTGTTGTTATTTTTCGGGTCGATCAGAAATCCAATATGGCCGCCACGGCCGCCATTTTGAAAATAGCTATTTCAAACTTAAAGTCAAGTTCTGCTGGGCAGATTGAACTGAAAATTAGTAGGAATGATCGCCTCATGGTCCTGACAAAGTGTTGTTATTTTTCAGGTCAATCAGATGGGCCTCTTGTTTTAGCTACATTCAATTTCATTGCTTTCCAAAAAATAAAAAATAAAAATCCTTCCCCAGTGAAGTAAAAGCTATGTCAGGTGAAAATGATCGAATGAGATAGATTTGTCACTTAAAACAGGGATTAGATTTCTAAGTTGTTTGGAGCTCCTTATGACATTTGTATGACCTTGACATCATTCTGTAGGTTAAGGTGTAACAGCAGTTATTGTGTTAGATAATACTTCTGGGAAATATCGGAGAAATCATTTACGTGAGGAGATTGTTATGTTTGTGTAGTGTCCACCAAGTACATCTACTATGAATCAAAAATTGGAACAAACTTCTAGTAATTTGCTTAAAAAGTAAACTTGTGATGGGAAGTGCTGCCTCTTATTCCCAAGGTTGTAATATGTTTCTTGTACATTTTTTATGTATCTTTCGATCATGGATATTAAAAAAAATATATGTAAAAAATTATATGAATTCCTTGTGAAGTTCCATATGAAGTAGGAGTAATTGTGGGAATGGGATCTCCCCAGGCCTGTTCATTATTGATACACAGCACTTGTGCCGTCGCCAAACTCTGATCTCAAGCATATAGCAACACCCGATTTCCATCTCACTGTCATTTTTGGGTGTGCAAATCATTGATTCTCTCCATTATCATAACACCGCTAAGGAATCTCCAGATTCAAGCACCAAGACGACTTGATTGTATCCATTCATCGGCATGGCGACCAGGTTTCTGAGAAGAAGCACCTGATTTCAAGGCCATCTGCTGGTGTTATGAATTCTTGCTGGATGACATAAATTCTTGTTTCTTCTTCCTCGACAGCAAATAAGCCAAAATGAATTGCTGGTATTTTGGCTACGCTTTAAGAGTTTCATTTTTGAAATATTGGAGGAATTTGTACAGACGACATTAACAGTTTGTAAGAGAGCGGTATTGTCGGAAATATTTTGCGAGTCAGAACTGATGCTACTTACTAGGCATACTGGTGCCACCATACTTTTTACTAATATCAAACTCTGGGGAGTGCCAAGCTTCCCAGGAACTACTTATATTGCGTATGAAATATTAAAAATGTGGGCTTCCTGTTTTAAATGAGATTGAGAATGGTAGGCAACTCCCCGTGGTGAGTAACAGGATTTGTAAGCTTTATAATCTCACGAAAGGTTATCACTATAGTTTTGTGCCAAAATTCAGGATTAAATTGTTCCAAGATTTTTTTCTTTAACAGAACTATTTTATCCCTGTTTAGGGAAGTTAAATCCGTAACTTTAAAGCATTATGTGTTTGGAGTTGCCTACCATCCGTTCAATTTTATTTTTTTNACTCAGGTGACCGTTTAGGCCCATGGGCCTCTTGTTTTATTTATTTTGTGATCCAAACTGGAATTGTAGAAGAAAATTGAAAATTGAGAAAGAAAGAAAGAACACGTTTGTTGGAAAAGGTGATAAGTAAACAGATTTGTACAAGTTTAGATATTGGGTTTTGAGGCCAAAATCCACCATTATGTTTTTTTTTATATTGTAGTTAGATAGAAATGTTTTGAATAAAGTTCCCTGCTAAATGCACCTCATCTGACACAGAGCTTTCATTGCTGTATAAAGGAGGGATGGGGCTGCTGCCCTTTGGAGCAGAGGGATGGGGCTGCTGTCCTTTGGAGCAGAGGGACGGGGCTGCTGTCCTTTGGAGCAGAGGGATGGGGCTGCTGTCCTTTGGAGCAGAGGGATGGGGCTGCTGTCCTTTGGAGCAGTGGAGCAGAGGGATAGGGCTGCTGTCCTTTGGAGCAGAGGGACGGGGCTGCTGTCCTTTGGGGCAGAGGGACGGGGCTGCTGTCCTTGGGAGCAGAGGGATGGGGCTGCTGTCTTTTGGAGAAGAGGGATGGGGCCGCTGTCCTTTGGAGCAGAGGAATGGGGCTGCTGTCCTTTGGAGCAGTGGGGCAGGGGGATAGGGCTGCTGTCCTTTGGAGCAGAGGGCTGGGGCTGCTGTCCTTTGGAGCAGTGGGGCAGGGGGATAGGGCTGCTGTCCTTTGGAGCAGAGGGCTGGGGCTGCTGTCCTTTGGAGCAGTGGAGCAGGGGGATAGGGCTGCTGTCCTTTGGAGCAGAGGGATGGGGCTGCTGTCCTTTGGAGCAGAGGGATGGGGCTGCAGTCCTTTGGAGCAGAGGGATGGGGCTCAAAAGGGGAAATGGGGCAAGAAACTTTTAGCTTTTCTTCTAGAGCAAAATAGGATATCTATTAACAAAAACTGGTAATAGATTTATCACATCAGGAGAAGACACGGGTGTTTGAGATTGCCCGGTATAAGGTAGTTTCTCGTTTATAAATGATTTCTGGCAGCCTTTTCAGAAAAAAATCATATAAACATTAAAGTACTATAAACATAGGAACTTAAGTATTAATGTTATCTTTTACTTTACTTGACAATCAAACAAATACGGCAATTTAGCATACCTGGCAACTCTTCCTATTTAGGAGGGAGAGTCTCAGTTACACTAATAGCTGATTGTCAGGGATGTACAGTTGTACTGGCCTAATGCCCTAGGTGGGTTACACTAATAGCTGATTGTCAGGGATATACGTTGTACTGGCCTAATGGCCTGGGTCGGTTACACTAATAGCTGATTGTCAGGGGTGTACAGTTGTACTGGCCTAATGCCCTAGGTCGGTTACACAAATAGCTGATTGTTAGGGATGTAGTTGTACTGGCCTAATGTCCTAGGTGGGTTACACTAATAGCTGATTGTAAGGGATATACAGTTGTACTGGCCTAATGTCCTAGGTGGGTTACACTAATAGCTGATTGTAAGGGATATACAGTTGTACTGGCCTAATGTCCTAGGTGGGTTACACTAATAGCTGATTGTCAAGGATGTACAGTTGTACTGGCCTAATGCCCTAGGTAGGTTACACTAATAGCTGATTGTCAGGGATGTACAGTTCTACTGGCCTAATGCCCTAGGTGGGTTACACTAAAAGCTGATTGTCAGGGATATACGTTGTACTGGCCTAATGGCCTTGGTCGGTTACACTAATAGCTGATTGTCAGGGGTGTACAGTTGTACTGGCCTAATGCCCTAGGTAGGTTACACTAATAGCTGATTGTCAGGGATGTACAGTTGTACCGGCCTAATGCCCTAGGTGGGTTACACTAATAACTGATTGTCAGGGATGTACAGTTGTACTGGCCTTATGCCCTAGGTGGGTTACACTAATAGCTGATTGTTAGGGATGTACAGCTGTACTGGCCTAATGCCCTAGGTAGGTTACACTAATAGCTGATTGTCAGGGATGTACAGTTCTACTGGCCTAATGCCCTAGGTGGGTTACACTAATAGCTGATTGTCAAGGATGTACAGTTGTACTGGCCTAATGCCCTAGGTCGGTTACACAAATAGCTGATTGTTAGGGATGTAGTTGTACTGGCCTAATGTCCTAGGTGGGTTACACTAATAGCTGATTGTCAGGGATATACAGTTGTACTGGCCTAATGCCCTAGGTCAGTTTCACTAATAGCTGATTGTTAGGGATGTAGTTGTACTGGCCTAATGCCCTAGGTGGGTTACACTAATAGCTGATTGTCAGGGATGTACAGTTGTACTGGCCTAATGCCCTAGGTCAATTACACTAATAGCTGATTGTCAGGGATGTAGTTGTACTGGCCTATGCCCTAGGTCGAAAGATTTGATATTAGGACTTATTCAACTTTTCAATTTTATTTCAGTAATTTTCTTAAAAATCTCTAGCTATGTTATTTGCCCACCCCCAACTGCAATCTTAATTTCAACACAAAATGTGTCAAGTTTGGTTAGTTTGTGTGTTACATCCTATCAACAGCTTGGGTCATTTAAGGACGACACGCCAGGTTTTCTATGTGTCAAGAGTATGCTAAGTAAAATAAATTAAATTAGTGAAAATCTTTCCAATGGAAACACTGGTTTGTTTGGTGTTTGTCGACATTCCAGCTTCCTTTCTACGAAGCAAATCGTACAATGGGCGATATGCCTTACTCCTCCATAGCATGAGGCTATCAGTTATAATCCAGCCGGGTGTTGGGTTGATGATGATGTTTGTGTATCTATTCTATAATATCATGTAATCTCTAACTGGAAGTGTGAGAACAGGCTTATTACAAGACAATGAAAACAAAAATTTGTTCCCTACTTCCGGTGAGTATATATAACAAATCTCTCCAGGTTAAGAAAAGGGTGTGAGAAATTTCTTTCTTGTATCCCATTTCACATGCATGATGTCACGATTGGACAACAATGACATCACTAAATCTGAACATTCTAATGCTGGGATGTGAAAATTGCAACACGTTTTGGTGTTTCTAAGCAAATTTTAGTGATTAGAATGACAGCCTTGGGTTTTACCAAATTTGAAAACCCCTTTGGTGAAATGTACCTGTCCTACTCGCCTGTGTATGGAAGAGTCTTATAATTATACATTTCTATATGTACCAGACATAGATATGGGTAGGCCTCTCACTGAGTGAGGACTTATTGCTGGATGAAATTGTAAGTTCTAATTTGGATGTTTCCCAGCATAATATTGCTTCAAGTTGTACTGGTAACTTATAATAAGGGTTTATTTTGATTTCAACTGAATGTTATGATTTTCAGTTTACATGGTTTGTTGAGTTGTCGACATTCTGTACAAGATTTCATTTAAATAAATACCTTAAATAAAGATACACACTCAAACTCATCTGTGAAGAACACCTAAAGGATAAATAAATGTAGCCCTTAAATCACTATTTAAGAAAGAAGATATTTGGAGAATTCCTTAACTCATTCACCCCTGAAATTTCATTATGAACTATTCCAACCTATGAATTGGGAGAGTTCAAATGTGTCTTCAGGGGTGAATGAGTTAAGTGATTGTTATAGGCAGTTGGTCTTTATATGAAGGTGGTCTTTATAGAGAGGAATGTAAGAGACAATGTCTTTATGGACACGTGGTCTGAACAAGCAAGTAGTCAGCTTGTGAGACAATCAGTCGTTATAGAAAGTAAGTATTATAGACACGTGGTCTTTATATGCAGGTGGTCTTAATAGACAGGTGATATGTGTATGCAGGTGATCTTTATAGACAAATGGTCTTTATATACAGGTGGTCTTTATAGACAAATTGTCTTTATAGACAGGTGATCTTTATATGCAGGTGGTCTTTATAGACAAATGGTCTTTATAGACAAATTGTCTTTATAGACAGGTGGTATTTATAGACAAATGGTCTTTATATACAGGTGGTCTTTATAGACAGGTGGTATTTATAGACAAATGGTCTTTATAGACAGGTGGTATTTATAGACAGGTGATATGTGTATGCAGGTGATCTTTATAGACAAATGGTCTTTATATACAGGTGGTCTTTATAGACAAATTGTCTTTATAGACAGGTGATCTTTATATGCAGGTGGTCTTTATAGACAAATGGTCTTTATAGACAAATTGTCTTTATAGACAGGTGGTATTTATAGACAAATGGTCTTTATATACAGGTGGTCTTTATAGACAGGTGGTATTTATAGACAAATGGTCTTTATAGACAGGTGGTATTTATAGACAGGTGATATGTGTATGCAGGTGATCTTTATAGACAAATGGTCTTTATATACAGGTGGTCTTTATAGACAAATTGTCTTTATAGACAGGTGATCTTTATATGCAGGTGGTCTTTATAGACAAATGGTCTTTATAGACAGGTGGTATTTATAGACAAATGGTCTTTATAGACAGGTGACTTTTAACTGAGGCAGATTTTACTATGTTGTATGTCTAAATCCGTGTCTAAATGTCTAGATGTCTAAAATATCCAGGAAATACTTGGGTCTAGTCTCAGTGTGAACTAAATCACAACTATATCTCTTGTATTACTGTATATATTGAGCAATAAGCCCTCGTCTGGTAAAATAGACGTTCATATCTATTGCATTTCAGTAGACATGCCAAGAAATGTTATTCCAGTCCTGTTAAAAGCCCACACCCTTCTGTAAGTCCAAGACTTTGTGTTGATCCACTGTTTTTTTTGCAGGATAAATACAGTATATGATTATCAGTTCCAAAACGTTCAGGAAATAAAAAATGGTGAAAAGGGTGGTCCCTCCCAGGCAGGTAGTGACATTATGTAACCTTTGTAATGTTAATCTTAATTTACATACCAGATAGCCAAACTGAACACAAATGTAAGAAACACTGACGGAAGTTAGCGTCAATTAATCGCTACTAGTGAAATATGTTATCCTCATTACAACTCCCAGGTTGTAAGAGGAGGGTAACAGAACAGCCTAATAGTTTAGCGTAAAATTCAGTGTCGGGATGGTTTAGTTTACAATTGGTACTTGGTATAGGAGTAGGTATGGGGAGGGTTACGGAACAGCCTAATAGTTTTGTGTAAAATTCAGTGTTGGGATGGTTTAGTGTAATGCTCGTATTGGGTAGAGGGGTATTAGGAGGGTTACAGAACAGCCTAATTGTTTGGAGTATAGTATAAAACTCAATATGGGGTGATATGGCCGGGGGTTGGTGAAAGAGAAATGTACGTGCCACAAAAACAGATAATTGTTCTCTTGATCGATTGTTAGCTTACTTCTTCTCAATAACCAAAGGCCTAGGGTACTGATATTGGACATGTAGCATGCTGGGATGAAGGGGTACCAAGTTTGTTTAAATGAATGACCTTTACCCACTTCCAAGGTCACAGGGGTCAAATATCTTAAAATCTTCAAACAACTTCTTCTCAATAGCCAAAAGGCCAAGGGTACTGAAATTGGGCATGTAGCATGCTGGGATGAAGGGCTACCAAGTTTGTTCAAATTAATGACTGACCAACTTTCAACCTAATGTCCTTGTTCGACATTCGAGGTCACAGGCGTCATATGTTTAAATCTTTTAATAGGTTCTTATGAATGAAACACTGATATTCTGCCTGTAGCTGTTATTTAGTCCACTATTAAGATTACAAGTGTGAGATTAATACCAGGTGAGCGATGCAGGCCCATTGGGCCTCTTGTTGTAGCTGTGAGGTGATACTGGGAAGGAGAAGGGAGATGAAAAAAAGGGGTAGAGGCAATGGTAGATGATACAGAAGGGGAAAAGGAGTGAGAGACTGGAATTACAGATTGTGTGTAACAGACAATGGTAGCTGATCTGGGGGAGGGAAGGAAAGAGGAATAAGGACAAATACAGGATGTGTTACAGACAATGGTAGTTGATCTGGGGGAGGGAAGGAAAGAGGACAAATACAGGTTGTGTTACAGACAATGGTAGCTGATCTGGGGGAGGGAAGGAAAGAGGAATAAGGACAAATACAGGATGTGTTACAGACAATGGTAGCTGATCTGGGGGAGGGAAGGAAAGAGGAATAAGGACAAATACAGGTTGTGTTACAGACAATGGTAGCTGATCTGGGGGAGGGAAGGAAAGAGGAATAAGGACAAATACAGGATGTGTTACAGACAATGATAGTTGATCTGGGGGATGGAAGGAAAGAGGACAAATACAGGTTGTGTTACAGACAATGGTAGCTGATCTGGGGGAGGGAAGGAAAGAGGAATAAGGACAAATACAGGATGTGTTACAGACAATGGTAGCTGATCTGGGGGAGGGAAGGAAAGAGGAATAAGGACAAATACAGGATGTGTTACAGACAATGGTAGCTGATCTGAGGGATGGAAGGAAACAGGAATAAGGACGAATACAGGTTGTGTTACAGACAATGGTAGCTGATCTGGGGGATGGAAGGAAAAAGGAATAAGGACGAATACAGGGTGTATTACAGACAAAGGTAGCTGATCTGGGGGAGGGAAGGAAAGAATGAATTCAGGATGTATTACAATGGCCGTTTGTTGGCCTATGGTGTTACTTTGTTTGGTGTAGCTGTTGAGGCGATTGCCTACCTGATGGATGGCACACTTTGAGGGGTATATCATAAGTCTGTGAGAGATGATGACTATAACAGACGGCCCACATAGACTTTAACCTTGGTCTAACATATTCAATTAGCTTAATTATAGAAACATAATCGATAACAAATTGAAACTTTGTACCAAATCTACTGAAATTTTCACTATTTGTTTTACAACCTGAACTCAAAAATCAAATTTTATATACAGATCAGTGTTTTCGACACAGTTTTATGTACGTAAGAAAAGGTATTTTATTGGCTCTAAGTTGACAATACTTTTGAATACTATAGCTGTAGTTACAATGAGTTAAATATAATCTGTCAATCACCTATCCCGCCCGCATCACAACATCTTTCCATCTGATATTCACACAAGTCTTTACAACCCGCAAGGTTTAGAAATGTTTTTAAATTTTAAAACAACTTTACTGTTATGTAATATTTTAATGTTATGTTACTAAAACATCTTACTTTGAATTACATCTGAAATTTAGTTAAAATATTCAACCTGTCTAACAAGACCAATATAACAACACCTTTCTTCAGAGAAGCCATTATTTTATGTCTTCTATAGATGGAACTAGCAGGGAGATAATGTTAATCCTCCAAATATAAATAATATCTCTTACACAATTCAGTATTGGAAACATGACTCCTTCATGTCAAATGAGTTTTCCATCTAGAAACTGGTAGTCAATTTCACTCAAACAAATTGCAAAATATGTTTACTTAAAATGATGGTAAGCTTGCCATACTTTGAGAATCTTGACTGAAGTAGCATGGCTTTAAAAACAAACATGCAAAGAAGCCAGAAACTGGTCTTTTGTATGTTTGTTTTGCCCAGATTCCCACACATGGAGATCAGAACTCCCCCAATTATTGTTGTGTGTGCCAATTCCAGATCATTACCATCTTTTTCTCTTCCCCGATGTTTGCTGTCAGATTTGATGAAGTAAAACAAAGAAACAGTTCTGATTTCACTTTGTTTTTCGAAGTCGTGTTGTGCCACTTTGATATTGATTTTGCAGTATAAGCCAGATATCAATCCACAAGTGGAAATATTCCGCTGTTATACATCAATTTTACATCAATTTTACAACAGTAAATGAAAGAAATGTTTTGTAATTTGGCCCGCATGGGATTTTGGCCTTTTCATTTGCACGGTCATCTATCTCAATGAGGCCCATAGCAACAGATCGCCTCTCAAGGACACAGACTTTGTTTGGAGACAGACAAATCACAAGCGTTTATGTCGTACACGGTAATCTGTTCAAGGCCATTATTTCTAACAATGTTGTACCTGGCTTGATATATGGTCTCCGAAGACAAGCTTTTTACGTAAAATATTGTCAAATAAAACATAATTAAACAAGTTGTTTCTTTTAATTAAGGTTATGGCTTTATTTGACCAAATAGTCATTCAAAGACAGTTTTCTTTTCATAAGAGGCATCATAGTCGAGAATCAAAGGCACACTGTCTGACTGGTAGCCCAGCAGAGTTAGTAGACGCTTAAGTGTATGTAGTTCCTTTTCACATGTTGGTTTAAACTTTGTTTTATTCAAATTTTGTTTGACAATACATCGAAGTACATGTTTAATAGAACAGAAAAGGAAACAAAAACAAGTTATGGAAATTTTTTACCTGCTTAATAATAAACTTTTCAACAATAGCTACAAGAATGAAGTAATATGTACAATAGAATAATGTTAAGGTGTTGCTGGCTTGTTTAACAGGTGGTTCAATTGCTACAAGAATGAAGTAATATGTACAATAGAACAATGTTAATATGTTGCTGGCTTGTTTAACAGGGGGTTCAATTGCTACAAGGATGAAGTAATATGTAAAATAGAACAATGTTAAGATGTTGCTGGCTTGTTTAACAGGTGGTTCAATTGGACATTGGTTTTTCACAAGGCAGTTTGCGATTGAAAACACTCGGCTGATGAGATCACTCGGCTCTGATATTTTGTAAAGAAGATTATACGTGTTTGGTTCCCTTTGGATGCAATTTGGGTGTTTAAAGTTTTTAAAAGCCTTCTCCTCATGTACAGTTTATAAGATTTCAACCAAATTTACAAAGAAGCATCCTTGTTTGTGTACAGTGAATCAAATGTTATAAAGAAGGTGTTGTTTCCCTGGGTGCTGTAATGCAGAGCACAAAATGGGATAGTATTGTCCATTTATAGAGCTTTAAATTCTTGGGGAATTTTACCCCCAATCTCTTCAATAGATTATTACTTCACTTTATCTGTAGCCAGTTTTCTCGTGGTAAATTTAACAGATACATTCTCTGGGGTGGCTATGAGTCTAGTCGCTTCTCTGGATGCCTCCAGAGTCTAGCGACTTCTCTTGCCTTCTTCGGAGACTAGCGGTTCCAATTCATAGTCTTTTATGGCTTCTCCATGGATATTAGGAGTCTAGTCGCTTCTCTGGTACTTTCAGAGTCTAGCTGCTTCTCTTGTTTTCTTTGGAGTCTAGCTCGCGCTCTTTATCAAGCTTCTCTGTGACTTCGCAGAGTCTAGCTTCCGTTAAATCTTTATCAAACTTCTCTGTGACTTCGTAGAGTCTAGCTTCTGTTAAAATATTTTGAGAATAATTTGTTACTATTAGTAGGTTATAGAGTGAGTAGCCCCTGATACGCCAAATGTTTACAGTAGGTTTTAGTACTTGTTCTTTGCTTGCACATTCATATCTGTGTCTTAACTCAAGTAATAAGCAGGTTAACTCTTTCATTGTGTGAAGTTATGTATAAACACTATCAATGATATAATGTCATGTCTGTTTAGATATCTAGGTGAAATATACAGGTTCTCTGGGCCTCTTGTTTTCATGAATGGTTCATTTTGCCAGATTTGTTCACAATATTTTCATACTAGGAGGCTTCATTATTGGAGTTAGGGAAAAAAAACTGAAATTAAGGATTTTTAAAAAAACTTTTCGAATGGAAAATCTGAAATTAAGAAATGTCCTCAACAAAAGAACACGAATGTAACTGGATCTGGGGATATTAATGGGATCTGCATATGCTACATTATTGTGAAAGCTTGATTTTACATCAAAATGTGTTATTTCTGTTATAGGTTGTGTTACTGAGAAGACCTCCCCCCGTTATACTGTAAGTACCAGTAGATTTTCTTTCAATTAACTTTCCATTGACCTTGTATTTGTTAAACTGCATGTATGATGATGCTTTTGAACAAATTTAAGCTGATCTTGAAGGTAAGTTCCTTTGGTGTTAAAACATTGACACTTGTTTTGACCTTGAAACCATCTCAAACGACCTTAGGACTAAACAACTGCCACCATTGATTTGGTTGTTCTTATGACGGGTGATCACCTTTGAGCTGAAACATGTTAACACAGGGCTAGAATAAATTGATCTATAACCAAGACTCTGCTGTGTTGTCCACACTCCGTTTGAATTTATTGATGAGCCGTTAGTGGGGACTCTACACTTACTCTTGTGAGCCGTTAGTGGGGACTCTATACTTACTCTTGTGAGCCGTTAGTGGGGACTCTATACTACAAGTCTCAACAGCATCAAGGATCAGCTGGATTGCACCAGATTTTCAACTTCAAAAGTACCTTGTGTTTCCAGCCCCCTAGAGGGATCTAACAACTGTTAATTAACTGTCTGAAACTTAATTATGTTGACCTTGAAACCAACTCAAATGACCGTAGCGACTAAACATGTGTTGACCTTGAAACCAACTCAAATGACCTTAGGGACTGACAACTGTTAGTAAACTGTATTTTTACTTGTGTTGACCTTGAAATTAACTCCAATGACCATTGGCAGTATTAGGGATAGGCAACTGTTGGAAACTTGTGTTGACCTTGAAACCAACTCAAATGACCTTAGAAACTTATATCTGTTCACACCTATATACATAAAATCTCGACACAAACAATAAGTGACAAAACTGGCTTATGGTAAAGAAATTTTGTAACAAATTGTGTTTCATAAATAGGAAAAAGTTAACTTGTGTCTTTGCTTTCTGTTAACAATTGAAGCTGGATGCACATGGTTCCAATGTAGAGTTTTAGGTAGGATAAGACATTTATAGAATTGGTTACATAAAAATTTCCCTCTGAGCCATTGTTTATGGAACTACAATAAATAATGGCAAGAGGGAGTTCACAGATATTACATGCCCTTTACGAAAACAGCTGAGACAAGTTCAACATAACCGTAAGTTACATACCCCTCTTGATAAAAAATGCCACGACAAAATTCTATCGACAAAAAAGAAGAAGCCATAATGCCACAGTAATCCTAAAATTACCCTTTTCACAATCACCTTGACTTAGTAACATAAAGTTGTACCAGACCTTGACTGCACAACAAAAGAGGAAATTATTGGATGTCGGTAGAGGATGATAAAATCTCATCAGCTTCTCTGCTGACCTTTATCTGTGTGTCACAAACTATAGGAAGCAATGAAACTGGTATATTGAAGTCCGTAAATCAGGAAAAACTTCACTATGCATGACCTTGCATCGCAAATTTGGAAATAGTAACGTTCCACGTTTTGAAAATCATATATTGCCTGATGATGTAATATCCTGTCTCCCAGACAAGTGGAACATAAACTTAAGGTCCTACAATAAATCTGACAATGACCTTTGACCCGTTTGTGCTGTGACCTATGACCTTTCAGAGTGGTGACTTCAGACCTGGTATAGTAGAATACAGATGACCAGTGCCAATAGTTTTATCTCTAGTGTTTGTCATTCTACTGGGGAAATTCAGGTTTTCTCCACAAGACTGTAAAATTATTATGCTATAAATCAGAAACTAGTCAATATTTATCAGTCCATGGGTGATTATAAGTAAAGCTTACTTTAATTTTTTATCATTTATTGAATGGTTACAAATGTCTGCCATACATTGAATATGAATTATTCTGACAACAGTTTTCCAATGTTTTGAAGGAGTGTTGCAATCTCTTTTGAAGAAGAAATATAAACTATGGTGAAATCATTTTATATTGCCACTGAATTTTGGTTTTATTGAGAAATTTGGTAAAATGATAATAATTATTACTTGCTTAAGGGCCCATCAAGACAGAAGAATTCTTTAGGGCCAACAAATGGTGGACAAGTTTGTAAAACTACCTTCAGAGAACTTTGACAGAATTGATATATTTAAAAATTGACAAGTATCTTGACATTCTAAGTGAGTCAGCAGTCAAAATAAAATGGCAATATTAATAAAAAAAATTAAGCAGAGAAAGTGATTCATTAGTTTTCTGCGATGGTTACCTAGGAGATGAGACTGCACGACGATCCATGTTCACATCTTGAAAAAAAATATATAAATATTTTGTCAAATCAGCATGTTTTTCTGCTCTTCCCTGTGGTCTTACAATGGGAACATTCATGTGTCGACAGTTGACATTTGTAATTCTGTACAAGACTGTATCTCTCTCTCTCTCTTATATTACAGCTAAAGTACCCAATAGCAAAGGTTCATACAAACTTCAACAGTTTAAAGATACATACAAATTGAAATTCATATTTTCTAATACACATGTCTGGTTTTCAATGAAAAGGAAAGTGCATCATTGAATTCCTATGTACTTGTAAATGAAAGCCGCCATGATTTCTATTTTTTTGCGATTTGTAAGCAGGTATTCTCTCAGAAACAGCTGTCAGACCCACAGGTATCTTTGGAAATCAAATAGTTCCCATTTTTACAGTTCCTGAGCTGATTTAATAAGCGCTGCCAGTAATTGGCTGTAGATATTTGACCTCCGACCTGATTGATTGATCAGGTGTCTGAAGTAATTAATCAGCAGTCATATTTTTGAAAACATATTTAAGGACTTCCCACCCTTTGTAATACACATGTTTTGCTTGTCGTATTTTCGTGTCGTCATTTCCGTATTGCGTATCGGGCATTCCATTACCATAGTGTAAATTATAGTAACACCGGGTAAACAATAGTACATGTGCGTGACGATGATATGTCAACACAATATCGAGACTTAACTTGGAAATGAACTCACAGGAAAACACTGACATATGATCAGACGACTTCAAGAAGGTCGTATATAAGGCACATGGAATGCAGACTGATGTGTTTTGTCACGGACTTAGATAATCTAATTCCGTGGTTTTGTTTACCGACCTCACCTGTACGTATCATGTGCTAACAGTAGTTGTCGAGCGAGTTACGTTCTATCAGATGAATCGGTTCACAAATGCAATTACAATAACTCTGTGAAAATAGTGGTTTGTAAAACATCAAAATTCCTATAAAATGCAAGTGCATGTGCGTGCACGTAAACACGGCATACCATGCGATAGCCTATGGTTACATATGTACCTGACATGTTAATATACCATGCGTAAGCGGGCTATAGAATGATGTCCAAAGTGTACATGATTGGGAGTAATTTTGTTTCATAAAAGAACAGTTAATTGACAATTAAATATAGTAATTTAATTTATTTCCGTCGTTATTGGTATAGTAAAGAAAATGACTGTCATTGTATAAATTCTATGCCTCTGCAAAAAGTTCCAATTTTGTTCAAGGTAGGCAACTCTCACCAGGATCAAAATTATTGTAAAATGTAAAATAAATTAATTATAAAGACTTTGTGTGTATTTGGTTCACTTTTTCACTCTATTTGAATGAAACTATGTGTCCTGTTTGCTTTTATCTTGTATTCAGTAACTTTTATCCATACAATTTCAATAAAAAAAAAAAACGCTTTTCGTAACATTCTGTAGATATTTTATGATAAATAAAATATTCGTAGGGTTGATTAGCAATGTTTCGTTTCATTATGTTATTGTTGTTATAGTTTTGAACAACGCCACACACTCAAAAAATGTGAAAGAGTTGAATTTGACAAAAATTCAATTTTTCAGTATTTTTACAAAAAAATCCCCAGTTTATCGGAATGCTTATAGATTTTCATGAAATCATCTCTACATAGTGACATAACCATTATGTGAAACTTTCTTTGAATTCTGCTGGCTAATTGTGAAAGGGTGGAGCCTGTAGAATCTTAAACTCATTCACCCCTGAAGACAACTTTGAAACCTTCCAATTCAAAGGTTGGAATAGTTCATTATGAAACTCCAGGGGTGAATGAGTTAAACTCATAATTTTTAATGGTAGAAAGGAAAAATATATGAATTTGTCATGATCAAATATGAGAATGGGGTTGACGACATTATAGATAATTGATTTCGGAATGTGAAAAGTAAAACATTGAATTTCAAAACAATGCAATTTATATAAATCAAAATTTTAATCAAGTCACGATTTTACAGAAATTATTTTCACACAGAAAATTGTTCAAATTCAGTTGAAGAATTTGAGCTTGTTGCACCAAAGTCGTTTTACATTCAATCAATTTTAGGGCATTGATTAAAATGTTTAAGTATTTGCAACAGAGTTTGATTTCAAACAAGGAAGAGCAGATTAAACTGTGGTGGATATGAATGAGTAGGCAAAAAGGTGGGAAGAGCGGGCGTCGAGGGAAATCGCAAGTAAAAGCAAAATGACAGGCTATAGATTGAAAATTCAAAATGTCACGACTGAAATTAAATGTGAAATAAAAAGAGTGTAAAATAACATGACAACCACCGAAAGTGTTTTGTCTTAATTTAATTCAGAAACTGTGTGTATTGGATTTTGTCGTTGATTAGTGTAACAGAAATTGACAGTTAGATACCCTGCCTGTTACAGAACTTACTGTCGCAAATCAAATTTATTTAAACAGTTTGAAACACTTGACTCAGTTTGGACAATATCCTGTCATTACATCCTGCTGCTGCTGACATGGCCATCATCTTCCTCGTCATCCTTATCTTTGTCATCTTCCTTTTCAAAGTCCTCTTCCTACGCCATTCGCTTAAATTAATTCCTTCAATTTTCATGTGGAAAATAACAATAATTTGTCTTAGAGTTTGCATATAGAGTTTTAAGTGGACAAAATGGAGCTATTTACTGTCAAATAAAAACCTGTTGTGGAAACAATTTGTCTGGAGGTATTTTCAATTTTCTTTCGAGATTAGTTTCACCTCTTGATGGTCTTGATGCACAAACCACATGCTATGCACGGCCATTGTCAGCCATCAACGGTGGGGAATGGTAGG